CACTTTTGCTAGGCTTGTTGACTTATCCTTTTTAAGTGGAAAAGAGGAAGTTTATTTTTTTTAATTTAAATTTTTTTATTTTTTCCGTATGCTTTTGAGTTGAAATTTTTTCTCCCTTTTCCTCCCCCCCACCCTCCCCAAGATGGCACACAATCTGATATAGGCTTTACATTTACATACCCATTAAACGCATTTTCACATTAGTGGAGTTGTACGTAAAAATTAAAACCAATATGAGGAACCATCAGAAAGATGAAACAAAACTCAACAGAAGGTAAAAATAAGTGATAGCGATTCGACTTCCATAGTTCTTTCTTTGGATGTAAACAGCATTATCCATCCTGAGGCCTCTGGAAATGCCTTAGATCCTCATAATGCTGAGAAAGGTTCAGTTTAACAATCTTAGTCATTGCATAGTGTGACTGTTATTGTGTACAAAGGCCTCTTGGTTCTCCTCACTTCACTCAGCATCAGACCGCACAAGTCTTCCCAGGTTTTTCTGAAGTCAGCCTGTTCATCATTTCTTACAGCACAATAGTATTCCATTACATTCATGTACCACAACTTGCTCAGCCATTCCCCAATGGATGGGCATCCTCTCAATGTCCAATTCTTTGCCACCACAAAAAGAGCTGCTATGTATATTTTTGTACATGGGGGTCCTTTTCCCATTTGTTTGATCGAAAAGAGGAAGTTTATTGGCAGATTCTTCTTTCAGCATTTTCAGAAGATTATTAATACCTGGTCTACATATGACAACTAGTCTTGAGCACTAACTGCTTGGCCTTTTTAGCAGCTGAGCATTACTGATACAGGGTTTGGTTCATCCGCTAATGATTTGTGTCTGGGGAAAATTGGGGGAAATTATCATCCTAAATGAAAATAGTCTTTGGGTAACGAACTTCCTTCATCCACAATTAGACATCAAAGAGACTATTACCCTATGTTTCTCCATGACTTACAGTGTAGTCTTGGTTCAAAGGAACTGAGCAGTCAGGTCCAGTCCTGTGTCCATTGCAGAAATCCCCATTAGAATAGCTCTGATAGGTGGTCATCCGATCTCTGCATGAATGCTTCCAATGGTGGCCAACTTGCTGTCTAACAGAATAGTGTATTCTTTAGCTAGAGGCCCAACTGTTAGAAAATTCTTCCTTATAAAGTTGGAACCTGCCTTCCTATAATTTTTCCCCATTGGATCTTGGTGCTTTCCCCTAAAGTTATGAAAACAATTTATAAAACAACATTTTAGTTATAGTTGCCACCTCAAATTTCCCATATTCTTCAGTTTATCTCACCTCTTGTTCTCAAGATACCCCTGGAGGATCACAAAGAGAAAAAACCAAAGTATGTAAATGGTGCTGCTGAGACAAAAGGGTTCTTAGAAGACTTAGAAACCAAAAGGTCCTGACCTAAAACAGCGGGCTCCCACTGGAATTAAGGTCAGGGTAGATATCCATCATCTCATAATTCCTTATGCAATTCAACACCAGAACTTGGATATAGAGCTAGAAAAAATTGTAGTTACCTGCCTGAAATCGAATCAAGAGAATAACTTTTCCAGTGAAACAAGGATTCTGTTGCATCATTTAAAATCTTTTGTGTAGTCTAATCAATTCTACCCAATTAGAAAAGTCCCCTTGGATGCTGCTCTGTCATCAGATAAGGCCCTTTTCCAGAAACCAGTTCTATTCTGAAATACTGTCATCCAAGGACCAGCCTTGTTGACTTTGGAGAGGCTACTTACCAAAGGCTGACCACCAGGTGATGGATGCATGTTTGTTGTTTTTTTTTTATCCCAGACACAGCAATTCTGGAACAGTGTCCTCCATCATAGAGAGAATGTTGTATGTAATCTGTGAGTGACAAATGACATTGCTTACAAAATAACACAAAATAACAAGGCCTTAATGTAATCGTTTTTAAAAAATTATTCCAGACCTGTGATTTCTTCAGTGTGTTTTGAATTCTCCAAGTGGAAAGCCTCTCCCCTGATGACCAAGTCTTATAATGTTGGAGAGGTATCCACTGGACTTGAGCTGCTGAGAAATAAACTGTTCATCACCAATCATGCCCTCCCAAGCCTCGGTTCAGGATCAATCCCACCATCAACTACCTTTGTTCCTATACACATGCTGCTGAATTAAGATGGAGAAAATCATGAAATCACGCTAACTAGAGCCATCACAAATTTATATTACATAACTTCAATCGGGCCCTCACTATGGTAAGACAAATCCTTTTACACCTCCTTAGTTATCCTGCTCACCGTAATGACTTTTAAACCTTTTGATCACTCCTCAAACCTCATGGCTTCCCCTTCTCCATCCACTTAGCTGTTAACCTTGACCCATATTTTACTGAAAAAAAATTGAGGTCAATTGAGACCAGGTCTTCCGTGAAGAGGTGCCCTTCTCACCAAGGCAAATCCCTTGATATGCGCAAGTGATCCCATTTGAGTCCATTTTCTCCAGCAGATTGCTCCCTCAATCACTGCAACTCTCTTATCTCCAATCTCTCCCTGTCTACTGGTTACTTACCTACTGCCTAAAAATATGCTCATGTCTTCCCTATCCCCAAAAAACTTTCATGTGCTCCATTTATCCCCTCTTCTCCCTTTTGTGGATGAGCTCTTTGAGAAAGCCAAAAATAATTAATGCTTCTATTTCCTTTGCTTTCACTCAATTTTTGAGCCCTCTTTAAATTCTGACCTCATCATTCAGCCAAAATTGCTTTCTCCAAAATTACCAGTGATCTCTTCCTTTCTAAATTCAATGGCCTTTTTTCAATTCTCATTTTTCTTGATCTCTCTGCAGCTTTGGACTCTGTTGATCACCCTCTATTCCTTGATACCCTCTTCTCTCTAGGTGTCTGTGACACTGCTCTCTCCTGATTCTCCTACCTTCTAATCTTTGCTAGATCTTTGTCCAGGTCATGCCAGCCAAAGGTGACTGTCCCCCAGGGCTCTGTCCTAGGCCCTCTTCTCTTTTCCATCTATATTATATCACTTGGTGATCTCATCAGCTCCCATAGTTCCAATGATCACCTCTATGCTAATGATTCTGGATTCTACTTATCTAGCCCTAACTTTTCTCTTAACCCCCAGCTACCTTTCAGACATCTTGAACTGGATGTCCAGCAGATATCTTAAACTCAACAGGTTCAAAACTGAATCCATTATTTTTTTCCTACAAACCTCCCTTCTTTCTAACTTTGCTATTACTATAGAGAGTACCACCATCCTCTCAGTCACACACCTAGGCTTACAACATATGTATCATCCTCAACTCCTCACTCTCTTTCACCCCCCCCATATCCAATCTGCCAAGTCCTGTTGTTTCTACTTTAGCAAGGTCTCTGATATACTCTTTCTCTCTTCTAACTTTGTCACTACCTGGTATAGGCCCTTATCACCTCACACCTAGATTATTGCAGTAGACTTTGGTATATCTGCCTGCCTCAATTCTCTCCCCAGTCTAGTTCATCCCCAGATGTCAAATTAATATTCCTAAAGCTCAGATCTGACCACCTCTCTATTCAATAAATTTCCATGACTCCCTATCATGTCTGCAATTAAAAATAAAATCCTCTATTTTGCATTAAAAACCCTTCACAGCATGACACTTTTCTATCTTTTCAGTCTTCTTATACCTTATTCCCCTCCACTTACTCTGTGATCCAGTAACTCTGGCCTCCTTACAGTTCCTTGAACAAGATACTCCACCTCTCAACTCTAGAAATTTTCATTGGCTGTTTCCCATGCCTGGAATGTTCTCCTTCCCACCCCTCCCCACCTTTCCCTACTTCATCTCTGCCTCCTGGCTTCCCTGGCTTTCTTTAGGTCCTAGCTAAAATCCCATCTTCTACTAGAAGCCTTTCCTAGTTCTTCTCAGTGCTACTGTCTAGTCTTTATTATTTCCCATTTATCCTGTATATATCTTGTTTGTAGGTAGCTACTTGAATGTTGTCTCCTCATTAGACTTTGAGCTCCTTGAGATCAGGGCTAGTTTCTGTCACATCCTAGGGAAAAAAATAAAAGAACGAAGTCAATGTAGTTCACGAATGTTTTCTCCTAAGGCTTGGCCATGCCACCAACTTTTAAAAGCCGTAGCATTCCAGCAAGGGCATCACTGCTCTTTCCTCTTATTTTTGACATGTTGGTCATTTGTCAGAGGCAGATCTTGAATTCAAGGATTTCTGGCACTAAGACCTAGATCACTGAGCCTGTCTCTGGACAGTGGAAGTCAATTTAGTACAGCTCTGGAGAAAGGAAAAAGCAACTTCCTCTGAGTTGGTCTACCCCACCCCACCTCTCACTGTGCATAGATTGAATATCCTAGCACAAAATCAAACACCATCATCCCCTTACACTCAGTCTTTCCCCTCAAACCAAAAATATTCCAGATACCATCCAATGGTAGCCCTAAATCTTTGGCAAAGGATTTAGGACAGGTTTTGATCCTCCCAAACTGTTAAGCAAGGACAGGAAAGGCCAGCACAGGGAGCATTGCATAATTGTTGTATTTAGAATCATCCTATACACCTGTGAATGAACTGGTCCTACAGGAATCTGGGATGGAGGAGAAAAACCCTAACGTTTGGATTTCAGGTAATACGGGGGAGGGGGGGGAGGGAAGGGGAGACCAAAGCTCATGCTTGGGTAGGATCATAGATCTGGAAGGAACCTGGACTCTACTTCGACATCACACCACTGCAGGGAGCAAAGGGATGGCTACAAGTGTAGCCATAACTAATTTGACCATCTAGGGTGCCCACAACTCCTCTGAGCTGCCGCGGCTGGGGGGATGGGGGGATGGGAGTTAGTGGCCTAGCTTACACACCCATGCACCAGGCAAGGTACGGTATGCTGCAGCCTTATGGCGGGTCTAGCACCATTTTGTAGCGCCTTATTGGGCGGGGCCGAAGGCGGGGGTGTGGCTTGCCTGCAGGACCAGGCCTAAGCTACCTGGCCCCAGCCCCTTGGTGTCTGCTAAGATCCGGCGCTAGGACCAGCGCGGTCACACCTGTTGGCCACCGATTAGTGGGGGCGGACCGGCCTCTAGCTGGTGTAAAAGAGCTAGCGAGCCGCGAGCGGGGGAGTGACTGTGTCTGGGTGTGTGGAGTGAGCTGCACCGGTCGGGCAGGGCAGCGCCACGCTGGGCCTCCTGGAACCCCACAGCTCCACTCTCCTTCCAGCTCCCCGAGCCGTGGATGCGCTGCGCAGACCATGGCGGAACTGCTGCGGAACTTTAGTGATTCCCAATTGGTGGCGCGCTTCCAGCGCCGCTGCGGGCTCTACCCGGCGCCCCTGGAGGTGCCCCAGGAGCCCACGGCGGGCTCTGGGCACGGGGAGCTGCAGCCGGTCTCGCGGCATCCCCGGGCGGTCAACGGCAAGGGCGGCCGGAGCGACGCCTTTCCGCAGGTAATGTCTCGCCCAGGTGAGCAGAGGGAGAGAGAGCGAGGAGGGATCGGCGGAGGAGATGGTGGGCAGTCCGACTGTGCCCCCGGGCCGGCGGGCTAGGCGCCCAGGTAGCCAGGAAGGGACGGGCAGCCGGTCCCAAGGCTGCCTCCCCTGCAGGAACAGGCACGTAAAGCCTGCTAGCCAGCCATCCCCTCGGCCACTGCAGAAGACTGAAATCACTCTGAACAGGTCCGGCGGAAAGGGAAAGCCACTCACGGGCTCCAAAGTCGTCTTGGCCTAGGGGTGTGAATAGCGCACTACCCTCTACTGAGGGCCGGGGAGGGCGACCTTGGTTCGTTTATTTTTTAAAGGAAAAAAAAATTCCAGGCTCTTTACATCCTAGCACCAGCCTGGTTGACGTGCTTGGGAAGAAATTATGAACAAATCATTCTTAGCATCATGGGATTTAGAGCTGGGAGAGATCTTCGACATTAGCGAGTGATTAGCTAGATTAGATTCTCGTCTAACTCCTTGCCCCCTCATTTTACAAGTTATAAACCTGAGGCCGTGTGAGATGCTGGGCAGGTGTCTTTCCTCATCTGATAGTTATACAGATGCACCTGCTAGGGTCGCCCCTCTCTCCTCCCACTCTTAATCAGCACTAAACTTTACTGGTTAATTTTGTCCTCCCTTTATGATTAAAAATTTCCGAGGACCATCCTCAGGTCTATCCAGGAGAGAAAGGAACTGTCCTCTTCAACGCCTTATGTTTACCACTTCAGCTGTCTAAAGCAGACTGAAACCCTATGTCCTTTCATTCTAGAGCTTTCATCAACTAGCTTTTAAAAAGATTTCTCTTAAGGGAAAATATGCTCCTTTCTCTACTGGCTGGGCTTCTAGTGTGTTACACAATTTGCTGCGTTTATGCTTTGGTGGCTGCGGTTAGGTAATACTGTTTTGCCTAGGCAGTGGCCAGGAACGCAGACTCTTAACTACAATGCTCCCCTACAGAACTGACACATCCTGCAGCTAGCTGTCAGCCTGCCAGAGATGCTGGTGGGAGCCCGTCTGCCTCGATGGGATTTACAATCCTGCCAGGGTTGGGTTGTAGAAAGTCAATACAGCAGAAAGGTGTCGCCTGGGCACCTGCAAAATCTGTAGTTACCCAGGGAGGATTAATTGGAACATAAACATCAATGCAAGCTGATGTTTTGTGCAAACTGCAGTGTTTACTCTTCATGCAGCTTTGGGAGAAACAGAGGTAGCATTTGCAATATGTATTTTGAGACCAGCAAACAGTATGGGTGACAAGTCTTACGCCTTGACGTATATGGAATAAATTAAGAATTCTAGCCTCTTGTATGGGGTTTTAGTACTCTTTTTCAGTCGTGCTTGTGGTCCATTTGCCCTTCTTTCTAGGAGCTGTTCCTGTAACCTTCCTCTTCCTTCCCCCATCTACTCTCCCTGTTACATTTAGAGTTTTAGCAGCCTTGGGACAGGGTTTTGTTTGGGGCATTTTTTCACCCTTTTTTCCCCCTCTTTCTTCAATACTTGACTTCGAAAAGAAAAGAAACAATGCATTAAAATGTCTCCATATATTTTTAGGTGCATCCATACTTTGCTTCACCATCCTATGGACCAATAAAATGTGTAGCCTAGAAATCTAGGAGAATTTCTTTACTTGCTTTATATATACAGAGTGTCCCAAGAATCTTAGGGCAGTTTTAAAGCTTGGGACATCCTGTGTTATCTCATTTGAGAAGAACCCTTATCATTTGAATTACTCGAAATCTTTGTTGTTGTGCTATTGCTCAGCCCTCTCTGACTCTTCATGATCCCATTTTGAGGTTTTCTTGGCAGAGATACTGGGACTGGTTTGCCATTTCCTTCTCCAGCTCATTTTACCCATGAGGAAACTGAAATAAACAGAGTTAAGTGACTTGCCCAGGGTCACACAGGTAGGAAGTGTCTGAGGCCAGATTTGAACTCAGGAAGATGATTCTTGCTAATTCCAAGACCAGTGCTCTCTTTACTGCACCCACTAGTACCACAAATCTAATGATTCTTATTTCCATTTCACTATTTTACATCATTTCTCAAAAGAGACATAAACTGTGGAAGCAACCAATGGACTTTTCTTCTAAGGTAGTTAGACAGCCTAGTAGATTGTTCTGGGCCTAGAGTTCAAATCCTGAATTCAACTCCAGCCTTAGACACTGCCTAGCTGTATGATCTTGAGCAAGTCATTGAATCTCTGTTTGCCTCAGTTTCCTTAACTGTAAAATGGGAATAATAATAGTACCTACTTCCCAAAGTTGTAGGAAGGATCAAATGTGATGTTTGTAAAGTGCTTAGCACAGTGCTGGCATGTAGTAGGCACTTAATAAATGCCCCTTCTTTTCTTCTTCCTTCTCCACTTCCTGCTACAAACTCTCACTATGTGAACATGCCACAACATATTGCTAGCAATAAGATCAGGATCTGTGACTTCATTCCTGTGGATATGACCCCTAAATGACAGTTCTTATCCTTTTCCACACCACAGTAGATGATTTCATAAGCTGGTTCATGAGAATTCCCCCCCAAAAAAAAACACCCCACCCAACATTTGGTGGTCAAGCCTCTACCGATAGAGCCTTCACTATCTGACCTTCAAAAACTCAGGGTCATCTCTATATCAAGATGAGGCATCTCATGAGGCATCCTTCACTTACCTCTCTGGTCAGAATTAACAATAGAGTTCCTTAGGCTTTGGCTGGGAAAAAGGAAGAGAACAGGGCCACACCATGGCTAGTCTTTGGAAGCTGTGAGTATTGACTGAGGTGGAAAAATAGGGGCAGGCTATTTATGCAGTACTTCCAATGGGACTCTTTATGAGCATAGCTAATATGGAGGGCAACTTTATCCACACAGTGCTACTTCGAGCAAGAGGAAAATCTGTCCCAAGAAAGGGTTACATCAGAATGGCAATTTGCTTCTAGAGGCTTGATCTAGGGCAACAACTCTCCCTATGCCATCTTTGATTTTTATCACCTTTGCTTACTCACTAAACTAGCATCAAGTTTATAATTTGTGGGTTTCCCCATCATTAGTCATTGCTTTGATATGGCCTCTCCAAATAATAATTAATGAATACTTCTTTGTTTATGATCTTTCTGACTACTTCTGAAGTTAAACTTGTGGGGGGTAGAAGTAGGGCAGTCTTAAAAACCTCAGCACTTGCTAATATCCTTTCCAAGATGTCAGTGCAAATCTGCTTACTGATCTCCAAGATGCAGCCCTTTGCTTTCAGACCAGCTTGAAGAGTAAGCAGATGATTGGACAGAGAAAGTGGAAGAGATCTGAATTCTAACCTCAACTCTGCCACTTATTGGCTGTGAAATATTTGCCAAGTCTTTACCTCTTAGATTCCTTACCTGTAGAACAAAGGGTTCCACTAGCAATACCCAGACTAAGGCCTCTTTCAGATTGTTGCCGTTGTCTTTATTTATTTATTTGTTGCTCATTCATTCATTCATTCATGTCTTCATTTATTTATTTGTTTGTTGGTGAGGCAATCAGGGTTAAGTGACTTGCCCAAGGTCACACAGCTAGTAAGTATCAAGTGTTGGAGGCTAGGTTTGAACTCAAATCTTCCTGACTCCAGGGTTGGAGCTCTATCCACTGCGCCACCTAGCTATGTTGTTTTTAAAGACAACTCCACACGATGATTCTGTGAAATCTAGTCAATTTTGCTATTTACTCTTTTAAAAATTTATGATTTCAATATTAGTTCAGCATTTATTAAGTATTCACAATCTACAAGGCATTGTGTGGTAAGCCCTGTGATCTCAAATGTACATATATAGTATATAGTGCGTACATGCCTTGTTTTCAAGGAACTTACCATCTATTTGGAGTGGAGAGAGAACAAATGCAAAAATAGCTATGATATGTGAGAATGATAGAAGTGTAAAGGAGAAACTCACAAAGTGCTGTGAGTCAATTGAGGACAGGGAAATGGCCATGAATTGGACATCTGGTAGAAGGTTTCATGAAGGAAATGAGATCTGAGTAGGGTCTCAAAGGAAGGGACTTCCATAGAAAGAGAATGGGGTGAGGAATGCATTCCATTTATAGATCTTGACAGAAATAGAGGAATAGAAATTGGAGAGGGCTGAGAATAGAGACAGAGAGTAACTGAAAGAATGGAGTTCTGGAGAGACATAAGAAGGGGAGAAACAGATTTGAGAATGATTTGCAAGGAAGAGATAGCAGAAACTATGGGAGTAAATGAGATCACTTAGGAGGAGGAAAAGGCTTCAGGACAGAACATTGAAGAAAAAACATACCTAAGGGAAGTAGGGTGAGAAGCCAACAAAGGAGATAGAGATGAATTGGTCAGAGATGATATAAGGAGAACCATGAGCCAATAAAAGAGGGAGGATATGGGTGATCTATGGTGCCAAATGCCACAGTGTGATCAAGGAAGATGACCAAAACCCACTGGATTTGGTGATAAAGAGGTAAATAGTGGTCTTCTGGAGAGTTATTTCAGTAAAGTAGAGGAAACCAAAGCAAGATTTCAAGGGGTTGAATGGGTAGTGAGGAAATGAAATTATGAACTGTAGCTTGGCACTGACAAGGAAGAGATAGGACCTTGGATTGAGAGGGTGAGAGGGGTAAAGGAATTTTTTAGAGCAAGATCTCAACATATTTGAAGGGTGAAGGGAAAATGGAATGGGGAAGAGGAGTTGGAGAGAGACAGGAGGAGCAGGATAAGAAGAGAGGGAGAGACCGAAGGAGAGAGAGATTAAGGTTAAAGAGATTGAATTGATTGAATTGAATTGTTAGAACAAAGTCCGAGGGAAGGGAAGAGAAGAAGGAAAGGGAGGAGTTCTTGAAGTGTACATGTTAGTTTTAACAAAGAAGATCCTCTGATCCTGATAGAAGAGAAAATAGGTGAAAATCAAGAGTAGAGGAGGGAGAATTGAGTATTTTCACTTGAATAGTCTCAATCAATAAAATGGGAATAATTTTCT